GACAACAACTGTAAAAGATAAATTCAACAATTGTTTTAATAGGTTCTATGCACACGTTCAATTTGTAAGAAAATAATGATCTTGTAGTTTTATGTGTTTCACAAAAATGTAGTTTTACGACTAAATTCTGTTTTCATTTAAATATATTGTTCGTCTTAGAAGTTTAATGTGGAACAATTTGAAAAGGAGAAATTTCAAAAAATGCAATTTTTCAAATGCCACTTTATAAAAATGCCACACTTTTGAAATTTTTACAAAATTATCACTTTTTCGTAAAAAAAAAAAATTCTTTATATTCTTTATGTGTTAAAGGGTTCTTGGTGACCGTTAACTCGAGAAGAATACTAGTACTAAACAGAGATCTTCAAAATAGTACTTGGAACCATGTATTTGGTTATATAATTTTATAAATAAATGTCTTAAAAATGGGTAACGTACAAATAACCATCAGCTGAAAAGTCTAAAACATTTGAAGATATATAAAGTGATATACTCATTGTTCGACTATTCGTATACTCAAACAGAGAGTTAAAAAGATTTTGGAGAAGATGATGGAATCTTTTCTGTTTCTTTCTCACAAGTTTCTAATTACACCAGCTCGAGAATTATYCAAGAAGGTGATCCTACTCAACTGTGGAAACAACGACGATAGAGTAAAAGTGGAGATGCAACCTGAAATCTTCCCTGAATGGATTGAGTTGACTCAAGAATGTCTTATCGWCATCTTCTCAAGGCTGAGCATGGAACAAAGATGGACCGGACCGATGTTTTTCTGCAGGACGTGGATGAGCACGTGCCAAGACTCGTCGCTTAATTCGGTCTTCGATCTAGAAACTCGGTTTTTGTCTTTTTCCGGTTCGAGCAACTGGTGGAGTCCTGAGTTTGGGGAAAAGGTCGACACAATCCTCCATTCTGTTGTCGACCGGAGCCAAGGCGGTCTCAAAGAGGTTCGAGTCATGCATTGTACGAATCAATCTATCTCGTACGTTGCGGAGAGGTACGTCTCTGTTTCAAGATTTCGTATTTTCATTACATGGAGATTAATCGCAATCTTTTATCGAAATTTGTAATATTTGTTGGGAAGCTCTAATGAAATTCCAATCTTCGATATCTTTCCATTGGTGTTATGATTCTGAATTTAAGGGACATGGGAGTTAAAAAAAAAAATTGATGTTTCATGTGCAGGTGCCCTAAACAGATCTTTTATCATTCAATGTGGAGAAACGAAGTTCCAAGTGTTTCAGCTGCTGCATGTGTTTCCCAATTACATGAGCTTCAATGTTCCCTAAAGTCATGAGAGAGGGTTTCTCCAGATAGTTAGAAGGCACGAACCTCGTGTTCTCTAACCTCGCGGCCTCTGAGGGACTCATATACTTTTGCTTTATGAGATGAACATGCCTGAGTTTGTGACAATTCATTGACTTACCCGAGCACCCATAAGAGACGAAAAGACCATATTTGTTTCTGCTGCGTCCTCAACAACTAGTTGCTTCAATATCCTTGTATCTGGATTCATTGTTGTTTCCCATAACTGCAGAGGCATCATCTCACCCAAACCTGCAGATGCAAAGTTGGTTATTTGTCTTTGGACACAAAAGCATGTACTTTAAGTGCCTGAGAACACATTCATGATGTGAGAAGCCATAAAACAAAAACTTGGTTTTTCTCTGGCATTACCTTTGAACCTCTGAATGTTGTAGGATGCGTTTCCAGGGAACGAAGAGATTACTTTTTTAAGAGCTTCATCATCATAGCAATAGTGCGCTTGTTTCCCTCTCTCAACCTGGTTGTTTTCAGAGACAAACTTGCTTCAGAACAAACTTTTCCATAAATCTGAAGGACGATAACTACAAATGATCGTAAATGCTAAGAACTTACCTTGAAAAGAGGTGGAACACCAACGTATATACAACCTGCATCAAACAAGACAGGGAACAACAGGGAGATTAGCTAGTAGGAGATGGGAGAAGAAACAGGGAAGATGAAGACTCTACACCAAAGAGAGGCTTTCCTTATGCGATTAAATAAATTGCTTTAAATATATTATGCCGTTTAAATTGCTTTCTCATCTTTAACATACGATGTCGTTTTGTACTTATGGCCTTATGGGTTTGTATTTAAGCAGTCCAAATACTTAGGGCTTATTTAATCGCGGATTTATATTTGTTTTGAATAGTTTTAGATTTTGTTTGATTTTGATATGATTTAAAGATTTTCTTTTTTGAACTTTTTAACTAATTTTAAAAGGTTATTAGAAATTGTAATGATTGATTAGGGAATATTTTTTAAAAATAAATCGATGTGTTTTATATGAAAAATACTCCTTGCTTATATAATAGCTTTCGCTAACATATAAGAACATCACTTGTTTGTACTTTCACATGAGATGCATATATAATTGAACATAAAAAAAAAAAAAAAACTCTTGAAATCATCATCGTAGATGAGATTTGTTAATAAGCATATATATATATAGCTACAAACTTGTAATCAAATCTTTTGAAATATTTTCTTAGATAACTAGTTTTAAGTTAGAAATGATCCAATAACTCCAAATTTGTTATGATTTTGATCAATTATCAATTTAATAATGGTGGATTGTGGAATATTTTGAATCATTTAGTAATATCCAATAACATGAGACATCTAAAAATACCACATCCAATAAAGGTGAATTTAAACAAAAAGTTGATTTCTCAAATTTACGATCCAATAATGCCCCTAAGTGTGTTACCCTATTCACCAATAAACTATAACAAAGTATGTTTCACATAAAATTTTGACTTGTAAATGTAAAAAGTAATTCGTTAACAAAGTATGTTTGACATAAAGTTTTGACTTGTAAATGTAAAAATAAATTCTTTTTTGGACTAGCAACACAAGCTTATTATATAAGTCTTGTTCAACATATCTCTATTGGTATCTTGCGATTTCAGAAAACTTCAAAATGACTAGATCTCGAGTCTATCCTTTGTGGAAGTTTTGTACAATTTTTTTACATATCCCGCGTGATCTCTTAATTGAAAAAGATGCAAAGAAAAATCCTATGAAATCTTTTATTCGACGAAAAAACTCTAAGAAATCTCGTGGTGATAATTAAAATCCAACAT